ACGCCTATCGGGTGCACATTTAAAAAATATTTTTGTAATGTACAGAGTGTCCCAAAAGCCCTAAAAGTATCAAAGTTGTGTTTTTCTAAATGAAACACTCTACATATTATTGCATTTTTGGATTATCTGAGCAAAATAAGTGATTGTTTTCATAAAATTTATAATGTCTAAATCCAAAGGTTTTTTAAATAATTCGAATTTTATCAAAATCTAATATTATTTTCATGTGTCAAATACTTTAGAATTATTTAAGATATGTAAACGTAATTAATAGTTTGGTGAAACAAGAAATCATATTTCATATCCCAATGATAATAAACTTACCATTTTATACAGGGTGTCCACAAATTTAAACTAATCAAATAAGAACTTTAACTGGCTCTAACTTGATTAATTTAAATACAACCTCATATTTTTTAGCTTACCAGGAAATGCAATTTTTAATTACCTATCGAATGGTACTAGGATGTTGGTAACTAAGTTTTTGCCTTTTTACAAAATAGTCCAAATAATGGATCTGTGCACCATATGGTGTTTTTTTAAAAAGGTTAAATAACATATCAACAACCCACATAGCAAAATGATATTGCCAGAATATACCTGGAACATTCATGTGATGTATATGCATATTCCTGGGACATACATGAGTTCCATTATGAACATTGCATGAATGTCCCAGGTATCTGTCAGAGTTAATACACTGAATATTCATGGTATGTTCAGTGAATGTACATGTGTATATTCTGGGAATGTACATGTGTATGTTCAGTGAATGTATATGGTATGTTCAGGGAATATACATACATATATGTAACGAAATAAAAACGATCCTTTATTTCATCTTATTAACTTATTTACTGATGTAATTTTTCAACAACGAGAGTTACTTACAACTAATCTAAAACTAATTAAATGCATAATAAATAAATTAAAATATAACTTGTAACTACGGACGACAAATCTAAATTAACATTTTCAGCATTTTTGCCGTTGTCGCAATGATGTGTGACTGTGAGATAAAACACAAACCTTTATCTAAAAAACTGCACTTATTATTTTATATTCCTTACATGTTCCCGCTCTGTGGCTTTTGCCCTTTCATTTTGTTCTCGATCATTTAAGTGTTTTGCAATATGCTCTTAACAAAAATTCTATAGACAATTACAAATTTTAATATTGATCACAACAACAAAATACAGTTAATAGTTTTACATTGATAGAAGAGTATTTTCGTTCATCCACAGATTATTCTATTGTGTAGAAATACAGTTTGGTATAGCAATTTGCATTGATACATTACTTTCATTTTACTTTTGTTGCTTTTCTTCGATCCAAGAAAACATGCTTATCGCAAAAAAGAAAGCAACCAAAATTAAACTGGTAAACATGAAAAAATACAGATAATAGTTTTACATTAATAGACGAATAATTAGGTTCAGACAACCTTACTTGTCTCTTATGCGAAATTTTTTCGTGTGTGGTTTTCTCACTGGATCTGGAGATCTGGTGATCCCTAGCATCTTCAATGCTTCAAGTCCACA